CTTAACTCCCAACATCAGCTAGAATCCCACACTGATTAGGAGGGACCAGTGTGAGGGAAGAACAGACATACCTCCCTAAAAGCATCTAAAGCCTTCACGGTCAACCACTTCAGCAGCTTGGGATTGGTAAGTGGTAAGGAGGAGGGGGTGGGGTGAAAATGCATAGTAGAGTCCAGAGGAACGTCATCACCTGAAACAATGCAATGGGTGATCACAAAACACTCTTTTGAAAAGAGGCAGACCATCTCAATTTATTCAATCAAGGCATGACAGGGATGGGCAGCTATCCCTTTCTGCTTTACCCATGAAGTTCATGGGTGGTACAGTTCAGAACAGGCAAGTTAATGAAGTGAACATCGCAAGGTTATTCATCTCATGTGATTTTGTGGAACACCCCGTCTCAAGGGTGAGCATTGCAAAGCCATGTAACGGAAACCCCGAGTCAACATGGCTGTCCAGTGCGGATTTGCAATTGTAGAATACCTGGCCAGGCATCACTTGACACAGAGCAAGAACCATGTAATGAAGAAAGAAGGATAGACCTCTGAAATAAAAGAAAGCATTAACATAGACTTACCCAGTCTTAGAGTCGCACTGAAGTTTGAAGAACAGCTAAAGGTGGAAGTTGAAAACCCGAGTAAGCTGAAACCACAATATTATGTAAATAATGGGAGATGAATGTGTTAGGTGTAGTCCACATGCCCAATTCCAGGATTTCCTCCAATGGCCAACAAATACGAGAAGATAAGGAAAAGGTAAGGTGTTGAATTTGATGAGAAGTAACTCTGAACAAACTCCTGTGGGAAGGGGACAAAGAAGAATAAGCCAACTCAATCAAATGATGAACCCAACTGGTGAGGGTAGAAGGGGATAGATAACTGGATGAAGAAGATTACAATTAGATAAAGAGTTGGAAACGTGAGGCAGAGAATGAGGTTGTGCAGGCAATATAGCAATGAAGGGCACCCACCAGACATAGAAGTCTATCTGGATCGGGACGAGGGTAGAAATGATATATAGAGGGAAGGGAAATAGGGGGAAAGAAGGAGTTACCCTCATGAGCCCCCAAGGTTTTCAGAAGGAAGGAACAATCTGGATAAAGCAGAAGATAAGTATGGTGGTAAGTGTGCATGTAACAGTAATGGCAAACAAGTCAGACCATCAATACCACAGGCCAAGAGGAGAAGGAACTATGCCTTAAGAAAAGGTGAAACATAGAACATGAGCAAAGAGGTTCAAACAGAGGTAAAGTAAGGGAATGGAGAACCACATTAACATCCCATTCTGGAAGAGTAGGTCATCGAGGAAGATGACAAATCTGGAAGGAATGGATTAACATGGTGAGGACAGGTGAATCAAAGACTACAGTAATGGGAAAGATGGAAGATATAAGACAAAGCTGCCTGATAACCGAAAATTGAGAAGATTGAAGACCTCCCCTGTCGAAAAGCAACATTAGAAACTCGGACACATAAAACACAGTAGGTTGAGCAGCAGGAATTCCCCGAGCATGTGAAAGACTTTCCACTTCCATTTATATAACTCCAAGGAAGAAGGACACATGAACTTAGCCAAATTGAAAGCTACGCAACGGGAGAAACCCAATCTCCTCGCCAAGGACTGGTAAAAAGCCAGGTGTGAAAATGGAGGATGTGAGCTGCAGGATGTAGAACTAGTGACTGGGGTTGACCAAGGAGGGTGAGAAATAAGGGAAGGGGCACACGATAGAATAATTGTAATTGATGTAAACGAGGAAACCACAGTTGAGCCAGCCAATAGGGAGATATCAGATGGACTCAGCACAGTGGTATGGATAGGAAAAACATATAGAAATTTGTGGGATCAATCTTGGCTCAAGGCAATGATAGCCAAAGCCTTAGGAAGAGGTACCAGGGACCAAAAGAGGGGTAATTTGTGATTCAGGGTGGTGGCAAATGCATCGATGTGAGGAAAAACCCAACGACTGCAAAGCCACTGGAAAATGAGAGGATCAAGGGACCACTCCATCGGATAAATCTTGTCGGAGTGGGAAAGATGATCTGACACGAGATTGAAAGCACCCAGAACATAACACATGATTATACAAATGTGGTGCGTGTGGGGCCAATAGAGGATATCCAATGTATAAAAACAAAGATCTTGACCTGGTGCTACCTTGGTGATTGATATATGCTACTACCATTGAATTGTTAGATTGAATCATCACCAGACAATGTCGAGTGAGAGGTAGGAAGGGAAGAATGACTAGAAGCTCGAAGATGTTGATATGTAAGGACTGCTCATTAACAGACCAATGACCCGAAGCCTCCTGGTGATCGACCCATGCACCCCAGCCCTGAAGAGATGCGTCCATAAACAGATGTAAATCCGGACAAGGAGGAGAAAGTGGGACCCCTGCCGACGTACGAATCTTGTTCAACCACCAAAGCAGATCATTCACTAGGGAAAGAGGAAATGTAAAATTAGCAGCCAAGTGATCCTGAGCAAGGTTCCACTGATCATGCAGAGTCCACTGTAAAAAACACATATGTGCATGACCTAGGGGGACAAGTGGTGTCATGGAAGACAACATCCCCAAAAGTGATAGAACCTCATGTGCAGAAAGTGAGGGAGCAGACAGGGTGTAGCAAACTAATAACTCCATGGAACGAAATCAGAGAGGAGAAGGATGGGCCCTGACTGGGGTGAGTGTTGAAAAAGTCATCCAAATGGACAAGGTATTGGGTAGGATGGAGGTAGGACTTCTCCAATTTGATTAACCAGCCCACCTGAGCAGCGACGTGAAGGAGTTGACAAGTATGAAATTCCCATAATGCTCCACTAGTATTACATATGTGTTCACATAGGAAATCCAGTGACCTGTCCAATAACCCAGAAATTACTTTATACATACAATGTATTGGTTATCCAAAATATAAAAACACCAAACAAGCTATGTATTCCTAAATATAATGTAGTTTAAATAAAGAATAAAACCAAATTTGATTTTTTTTTACATTCAATTTATTGCAATAAATTGCAAAAATAGCTACATTTCATACATGTAAAAACAAATTTCCTTCAAGTTTCTAAAATTTAAGAAAAATCCAAAGCATACAGTTCTTCAAGCCAATGGAAACTGTATGAGCATCATCACAAACTGAACACTATATAAAAAATAGGTTAAATTAAAACTTAAAAAAGGGGGGGGGGGACTACTTTTCCAAAGAAATTAGCTTTTATAAAGGTTTGCTATATTCAATGATTTTCTTTACACTTTTATCCCTCCATTTAATATTTTAAAACTGAGGAATGAATAAAATGTAAGACAAAATACTTTGTTAAAGTTTACTTTATTCTGTAGAGCATCTTTCTTTGCATGCGGTGTTGAATTTCACCTCTTCTGATCATAATGTGTAGCACTTTGTATATGGCTTGTTCTGGGTACTTCTATGATAAAGCAAGTAAAGAAAAAGATAATTTTTTTGTTAGAAAAATGTTTTATATAAAAAAACTACAAATCAAACACAGCAAATAATACAATTTCAAATCCTATACTGTACAGAAGTAATGCTTTTTTCCTAACTTTTCTCATAAATTTTAAAGTCAAATATCATGTCACATCTGCTCAAAGGGCTTGCAACTGTCACTACTACAACCGAAAGTCCCCTTGAAGGCCAACAAAATAAAATACCAGGCCAATAAAATTTTTCCAAGTCAACCCACAAAACACTGATATTAAAATAAGAAACTGAGGTCGTTCTATAATGTTTTGTTCTATACAAAACTAAAATTACTATTCAAATGAGATTATAAAATATATTACAAAAACCAACAGTAGTTAATGAATTTTCAGTCTTAATAATTCCTGAACTACTAGTTCCTAAATAATTTAATGAACTATTACAAATATTTGGTCAGTCATAACCAAATATTTAATTCTTATTGCCAGTTAATTATTCATTAGTACAATAATCTAAATTTGTTTCTTTACAAAAACATTTTTACCTGTAAGTAGTTTATAGAATAAAAATTTCTCCTCAAAAATCCATAATATGCATTCTGATGGCACTGGAGGACCGATTATCTTATAATTTAAGTAATAAATTAACAACAGAATTGGCTTGGTTAAGCTATAGTATCAATCTACTAAAACTGACTCTAAACAACCAATAAATATGACTTTACTTGGTGGAGACTGCCAACTAAAAAACAATCTCAGCAAACACCATACATAATTTCTTCCAAAACCTAACCACAAAAAGCTCATATAAAAAATAAAAGATGCACTGACCTGACCTATAGAAATGATAAAAGAATGAAGTGAAACAAAAATCAATATTTGTATTGTGAATACATATATGGTGTTTTGGAAAGTTGTACAGAAACATAATTGTTTAAGTCCTAAGTCTTTTTTTTTTAATTCCTCCCAAACATTTATTATGCTAAATTATTATCTATATTAGCAGTTATACCTGCCCTCCAGGCAGATATAACTGCTAGTTCCTGCAAAAGGCTATTGGGCCTGTGGCCTTTTCTGACAATCCTACAACAACGTACTCATACTTGACATTCAATAATGTTCACCATCCATGAGAAAAAGGATTTTATTGAAGTATTTCTTTGTAGACACAGTTATCAATGAAAGTGCCTTGCTTTTTTGTTGCAACACTCAGGAGATTTTCACTAAAGAAAAACAAATACTTTTTTTTAAGTTTGTTGTTTGATTGTTTTATATTTGAAAGTAACTCCCTTGTTTTTTGTAATTTTATTGGTTATATCTGAAACACATCATTTTTGTGGAAATTTCAATTGTTTTATTTATTGCTCAGCTATGAAAATACTGCCTAGTTATAAAAATATTACCAAGTTATGATTGGTGCAGTAGTTTCCGAGATCCGAGTTTCGGATATATATATATACACATTGCAAGATCCATTATAATAAGATTTAAAAACCAGTCTCATAATTCGATGACGAGGAACCCATATTGAGACTAATAATGGCTGGAGATGGCTTGAATGGGTAATGAAGAAAAACTTTAATATAAGTTTAACATAACAGCATTATATTGAAGTTTTTCTTCATTACCCATTCAAGTCGTCTCCAGCCATTATCAGTCTCATAATGTTCTGATTTTTAGTATTATGCTTTTTTTTTAATCTTTAAGGTAAAAAAAAATAATGTCACTTCATTAAATAAAACAAAAATGTTATCTGTAATAGTCAAAATTAATATTAGTGATGTCATAATTTCAAAGTTTCTTTATTTCATAATTACCAAAACTGTATGTAAGGTAATTTGGAAATGACTCACTAATTACAGCTTGTTTGAAAACTGTACATATTCTAAGTCCTGCTCTTCCAAGAAACAGTTTCTTTAGTAGTTTCCTAACTTTAGATATACTGAAATGTTTTTACTCTTACTGTATGTTTGTCCTTAATTTCTTAAGAGCCACTGAACACATTTTGGGTTTCTACAGTAACATTGTACCTTTATAAAAATGTACACACTGTGAGAAAGGTATTAAAATTGAAAAAAGAAGAAGTTAAGAATCACTTGCAAGCCTAAGAATACATAATTATGAATTGTTACACAAATGTTTTTTATTTGTTTGTTTTTTTTACTGACAGAAACTAGGCAAAAACATCATATTGTGCTATTGGAGTTATGAACAATAAGGCTAAACGAATGAGCATAATCTTGAAGAAGCATTTTTTCTAGTGGCCATAAAATACCATTGTTACAAATCAGGCTTTATCAGTTTGTGGCATTTTTCATGTTGAAAACCATTTGGATAATCTTTATAAGGTAATCCCAGTATCTGTGAAGTTAAAGCTAAATATGTAGCATTTTCTTTTAATCTTCTGCTTCATTGAGTATTTTGTCCTTGTATTATGTGTTGTCCATAAATGAACTGATATCCTTTATGTACATATGTAGTAATTTCTTGTGTGGTTCTTGGTAGGTTCTGAAGAATAACAGGTTGTTCAGTAAAAGCATGTTATGCAAAGTTAAACTTATTCTTTGACTTTTGACTGAGTTGTGAGTAAAGAGACTGAACACAAAGAAAAACAAGTAAAAAACATGTTGAAAATCACACAAAGTTATTAAAATAAGTGCCATGAAAGACAGCGCCTTTACTGTAGTGAATTCAATCTCTTGAGAACTGTAACTCTTAAAATCTCTCAGAGTGAAAAAACATAGCATTATATAAGCAAAACAATAATGCTATTATTTTCAGAGTGGGTGCAATACCCATGTCAGTATTAATCATTTCCATCTCAAAATAAGGGGGGGGGGGGGTACCTCAAAGTATCACCTGACTTGCCAGTGGAAAAGATCACTATCAACTCTTACATAGTAAGCTCAATCTTAAAGAAATCTTTCCCAAAAGAAAGCACATATGATACCTCAAGTGAATAACCCAGGACAATTATTAGATACTTTTATGACCAACATTGTGTGTTATAGCCACATACAACTCCACATATAAAAATTTTGAAAACAATGGGGTATAAAATGCACAGCATGCCTGAATACCATATATTTCTCCTGTCTTTACCTTCTGGACATCCCTAACTTTGGTTCTAAGTTTTAATTAAATAAACCTGTACATTGGTCAAGAAATCATGGTAATTTACTCTGGCCCCTGGAAAACATTTACAGTCACACATACAATTAACACAGAGAACATAACTTTATATAAAAGTCCTACACTACAATCTAGAACTCAAAACTACAACTTAAAATCAAACTAAACACAATACAGCATAATGATACATGAAAAATCTTTAGATGAAAACAAAATACTAAATTTCAAAATAAAATCTGTAATACAGATGGATGAATACAATAAACCCTTTTATATCACAGAACTAAGATAAACAGAAAATTGCACATTGACAAACATTTCATTTACTAGCATAGTCTTTCCCATAAAGTTAAAAATATAATATGACACATACCCTTTATCAAAAGTACCACCTTATTAAAAATCAAGTCAAAAATATCAAGCAAGCGAGAATCATCAACAAACAAAATTAATCCATGTGATAAACACTCCCAAAAAAAAAAGATATACAATACACAAGTATATAAATACAAATTTAAAAGAAAAAATTAAGATACAATTAACCTTTCAGTATTACATAAAAAAAGGCATAAAACAATCCTTCACAAATTATATATACAAACAACAATAACAAAAAGTCAATAAGGATAACATAAAAGAATGAAGTTACTACTCTATACAGACAAAATCAAAACATCCACCTGGCTGCTTGCTTCTACAATGGCACTTTTATTGCTGGAATCTATTAAAACATTAAAAAGTTCTTTAATTTCTGTAACAGGTATTAGAGAGCAAATTTAGTTCCTCATCCATTGAGGCAGAGTTTTAGTTTGATGTGGATACCATTGACTAGGCAGATGGCAATGTGGACTCTACTTAAATGATGGTTACAAAAGATGGCATGATGTTTAGGACATCTCTAAACAGCCTGAATGTCACAGACTGGTCTGGTCAGCTCTGGAAATTTCAGGGCCAGTCTGTTGGTGGCTTCAGTCAACATGTTAGATACAAAGGCTAGCAAACAAATCTTCATCCATGAACTCTGCCAAAGTGAAGGAGAGACTGGCTCCCAGTCTTAGGAATGGCAGGCCAAAGTCAACAAACAAAAAACATGCTGTATTATTCTACCATTTTCTAGAAATGTGTGGGATAACTCAAACAATCAAACATAAATGGCTAGATAGAACAATATAGCCAAGAGGCATAAGGTTATAGCCACATAGAGGACAGGATTTAAATGCAAGTTCCATCAGATTCTGATAAGCTAGAAATGTAGGTTTAAAATTGTAACAGCCTGGTTATAACATTTTTCTGCACTCAAATTACTATTTTACATGGAGTTTTGCATTTATAGCACCCAAAAATCATAAAACAAATATTGTGATAAAGTGACATTTCTACAGTCTAACATCACATTTGTATATATTGTCTGTAGACAATGTATCCTTACACCTGTGTATGTCCTAATCCCTAGGTTTCACCGAATCTCATGCTTGACCAACACTTAGCTGTGAGACCCACTGTTACTTCCGTGACAATGGCTAACATAGCTATTTTATAACTTAGCTATATTCTTTTCACTACTGTTAGATCATTACATAAACAGTCTGGGCCCAGTAGGATTGAAATGGGGTTGGGGTGAAGATCCAACTGTAGAAACCGATTTCTAAACTAATAGCCAAACCACCACACAAGTACTAGCCTCTGGCTTCTAAACATGGGCATTTCAATGTGTAGATAAATTTGCTCATTCATGAATATTTCAAATTGACCCAATTGAAATATTACTCACTACTGCTAACGAAAAAACACATGAAACTGGGTTTTACTTTCAAACTGAAACATTATTTTATCAGCATTAATGAAAATATCAAAT